ATTTTGGCTTAATCAATAAAATAACAAGTTCAGCTTTTAACCTGCAAAATCAGAAACACGGATGAGGACGATTTTTTGACAACGGATTCGAATAGAAGAGACTTTTTCCTTCAAATAAAACGTTTCTAAGCTGTGGGAGTTGCGAAACGAGCTAGGTATCAAAAATTGAATACAACAAAAACATCGTTTTGAAGCCATTTCTGTGCGTTTTTGCTACAAAAAAGTGGCATCTTCTTTGATACCTAGCTGTTCTTGTTAGACGCATTGAGCAAATCTGATACAATATTTGGATAGAGCACACTCGAATCCATAGACTCCTACAGACTTTCCTTATTCACGCCTGTACATTAGTCAGGGGAACGAAGACAAGTAGATTTGAGCTCCTGTTCTTATAGTTGCATATTACAGTTTATAATTATCGTTTTCAAAAACATTTAAATAAAGTTTCTGCTTTGTAGACGTTATCTTCAGTTCTTTTCTACTCCCTTTTCGTTTACGTATAACGGAAATGGCAAACCAACCGTTATATACGCTATCGACATGTCAGATTTATAAAGAAACCAAAAGAATTATAGACAAACCGACGGAAGATGGATTTTTGAAGAAAAACGTATAATCATCAGAACTATGGTGAATCTGAAAACGACAGAGATCGGCAGTACTTGATGTTTAAAGTTGGTCAAATGCAAGAACGTTATTAAGTGGTCGAAACTTTTTCCGCGTTTGAAAAACCAAAAAATATAATAAATGTGCTAATATAAAAAATATAATAATTTAGTGCTTACTCATGTTCCATTATTCAGTTATTACCAATAAAAGAATGACAAATAGTGTTTTAGTGTGTTTTTCTAATGATCTTAGATAGAATGTTGAACCTTCAAGTCGATGTGGTGCAATTGTTAGAAGATAATGCAAAACGTATAATGAGCCAAACTGAAAGGTGTTGTGCAAGAATCAAATATCTTGGATTAAGTGGAAACTTACTACGGCATACAGCGGGGTTCTTGATTTCGATAACATCACACATCGTGACATGTAAACATCCAAATCAAAATGATGTTTTTAAAATACGGACGTTTTATGCGAAGGGAACTGCTGAAGATCTCGCAGTCATTAATGAAGAGGCACATCAAGATTTGTTGTTATTGAAGGGAACATATGTGCCCGATCAATATTTGAAGCGGCATGGTCCTGTCGTGGTGACAAAGCGTACAAATTTGGGTTTGGGGACACGACCAATCTAATGAAAGTGGGGGAAGGAATTGTTTCTCAAGTTTTTCGAGATTACAGAGGTAAGATTGAACAGACCTTACGCACAACAGAACTACATAACAATGTCCTACGTGATATTTCAAGTGCAACAACAGCGTATGCTGATAATGGCTTTCCAGGTGGTCCAGTGGTGAACAAAAACGGTCGATTGATCGGAATGATCCTTGGACCTGTGGGAGTGACAATTGTCCAAGCTGTGTTTCTTCCTGTTACATATGTACATTCGTTTTTACTGTCGGCTGGTTTAACTGGCGCATTACCGCAAAATCGACTTTTCATACGGAGGTTTTCAAAGCTTGACTTAATGTTTTTCGAGATCAGAATCCTTCAAAATGTTGGACAGCAAAATGGCGTCTTATTCAAATGACGAATAAAAAAGTGAAATTTTCCCATGTAAGGACCCTGCCGGATTTAAAAATTTGAAAGTATCAAAAAGCTGAATAGCAGGTTCGATAGAGAATTTTATTGCGCATCTAACCATATTTGATTTTTGGTTTGAAACTATGATCGTTCCT